CAGGTCTGTCCTCATAGGGAAACACAGTGAAAGCTCTGTGTCTTTGCAAATATGAGTAAACTGTACTTAATAAAGGTTTCAACATGGGTTAAACATGGGTTTTGATTTGTTATATGTCTTTATGTCTTCCCCTTTGTATCTAATTGTTCTAATACAGAAATTGGTACAGGCACTGTCTGTAGAAATTATGTGTTCAAAATGTAATGGGAACTTGCACAAGTGCTTCTTGGAAGCATTGCCTGGGTATGTCATTAATAAAAAAAAGAAAAAAAAAATGTGGACCCTCCCTGGTGGTACAAGTGGATAAAGCACAATTAAACTATCCACAGTCACTAACACATAGGTTCAACCCCTGGCCTAGGGGCTGACCCACAGGGCGAGGCAGACCTCTCCTGTCTCACCTGCTGTTCTTACTACCTGTACCTCAGACCTATACCCCAGTTCTTTTATCAATAAATAAATCTTCAAAAAATAAAAAAAAATGGGGCCCTCCTTGGTGGCACAGCGGGGTAAAAGCACAGCACTAAGAAGCTAAAGCCACTTCCGCATGAGCTTGAACCCCACCTGCCCCGGAGCGATCCATATGGGGCCTCTCCTGATATCCCTCACTCCTCCCCCTCCTCCCTCAGCAGTGTACTTCATCAATCTGCCTGTTCTGCTCTCCACTCTGTGAATCCTCTCACTGTCCCTGCACCTCTGGCATGTACCACAGTTACAAATAAGTAAAATCTTAATATATATATATACTTATATATATATATATAAATGTGTAAGTTTCTATAGTTAATGAAAAATTAATTTGGAATTTAATGGTTTGGTTTGAACTATCTAGGGCAATGCTTTTCTTTTTTATCTGTGTACATACTACACAGGAAATGTAGCCTGAAGTGAACTGCTTAAGTCTTTAAACATTAGATAAAATGGGAAATAAAGGTTATTTGAAAGTTAAGAATTCTATTTGTAGAACCCTAACCAGGGAGCTAACCCATATAGCACAGCATACTTCTCCTGTCTTGCCTGCTGCTCCCCTTAGTAGTGTATTTCAGTCAATCCACCTGTATTGCTCCCTGCTCTGCCTGTGGTGAATCCTCTTACCACTATCACCCCACCTCCCTCATTTGTGACATACACCCCAGTTCTATGAACAATTAAAAAATAAAAATAGTAATCTGAGAAGTACAAACATCCCAGTTTATTTAAAAAAAAAAAAAAAAGGTTTGCTGTTACTTTCAAATGATTGCTATTTTTTCTCAGTTTTTACTTCTAATGTGACAAATAGTCCTAGTATTATAAATTACCAAATTCTTTATGGTTTAAATATAATTTTTAAGAGTAAGATGATGAAGACCAACAAATTTGAGAACTGCACACCTCAAGAATGCAGAATTTATTAACTTAAAAATCAATGAGACTAATCAAACTATCAGAATTAAGAACTAATCAAATTATCAGAATAAAGAATTACGTGATAATTTCAATAAGAAGAAAAAGCACTTTACGAGATTCAATGGCCATTCATAATATAAAAGGTCTTAGTGAAAAGATAGAGTGAACTATACACTTTATCACTTTCTTTTCTGTACTACATTAGAAGTGCTAGCCAGTGAAGTAAAGGTAATGAAATAAACAGAAATTATAACGATTGGGGGAAAAAGCTAAACTTTGCTTCTCTTTGCAAATAGCGCATGAAATACAAAACCCACCAGAATCTATTTCCTGGAACTATTAAGTGAACGTTGCAAGGTTACAGAATGAAAATAAATTGTATTTTTCTATTCTAGTCATCAACAGTGAAAAACAAACTGAAAACTACAGAACTCTGCTAAGAGAATCTAAAGATGTAAACAGAATGAAAGCATGTTATACTTAAAGATTTTAGTACTCAATACCCTAAAATGTTCGTTCTCCTCCAAACTGCACCTAAGATTCAATATTATCACAAAAAAATTCCAGGAATCCACTTGTAGAAACTGATAGAATTTTAAAATTATAAGGAAACAGAAATTCTATTTCCTGAGAAATAGAATTTATTCTATGGCATTTCAAGATTTATGTAAACAAGGGCCCTCCCTGGTGGTACAAAGAGTTAAAGCACAGCACTATAAAACTACCCTCAGCTACTGCAGAACCAGTTGCATCCCCAGTCAGGGAGGTGATATCATCCACATGGCACAGCAGACCTCTCCTGTCTTGCCCACTGCTCCTCTCAGCAGTATGTTTCACAGATCTACCTGTTCTGCTCCCAACTCTGTCTTTGGTGAATCCTCTCACCCTGTACACCTCTGGTCTGTATGCCAGTTTTTGTGTGCATAAATAAATCTTAAAAAAAAAAAAAAAACTTATCTAAGCAAGATCATGTGCTACCAGTATTTGCAGGTGCCATAATATATACAGAAAAACCTAGACTCCACTAAAACATTAATAGACACAAAAAGTTGAGTACAGTAAAGAGATAGGATACAAAATCAATACACAAAAAACTGTTGCACTCTGCATGAAACCAATGAATTGAAAAGAAAATTTAAAAACAATCCCACTTACAATCACATTAAAAAGAATTAGAGAAGTGAAAGACCCACTGCAACAAAAATCATAAAACACAGCTAAAAGACAGCACAAATAAATGGAATGATATTCCTTGCTCATAATTGGATAAATTAACACTGTTAAAATGGCCATATTACCTGAAGTAACAGATTGAATACAAACCCTATCAAAATTCCAATGACATTTTTCAAGGGAAAAGAACAAAGCTATAAAGGTTGTATGAAACCACAAAAGACATGTGGCTCACCAAACCAATACTGAGGAAAAAGACGACTCCCCCTAACTTTAAACTATACTACAAATTTAATTATATTAAAAATGACAGCAATCAGGAACCCCTGACAGCACATGGTGTTAAGTCTAGGCGCTATGAAGCTATAGGCAGCTAATGTAGTACGAGCTCAATCCCCAAACAGAGAGCTGACGCACATGGCACAGCAGACCTCTCCGGTGTTGCCTACTGCTGCCCTCAGCAGTGTATTTCATTCAATCTGCCTGTTCTGCTCCCTACTCTGTTTCTGGTGAGTCCTCTCATGTCTCTCTCACCTCCGTACCTCTGGCCTATACCCCAGTCTCCTGTATACATAAATAAGTCTTTTTCAAAAATAAATAAATAAAAATGATAGCAATCAAAATTGTGATGTTGGTATAAAAATAGACACAGACAAGTGGAATAAAACTGAGAGCCAGAAATAAACCCACATTTATACTATTCTACCCACAGAAATAAACCCACATTTATATTATTCTACACAGCAGTCCTGAGAATATAGTGGAGAAAGTTTTCGACAAATAGGGATGGGTAAACTGAACAGCCACATACATGCTAAAGTATGAAATTAGACCACTATCTAACACCATTCAGAAAATGAAGTATGTTGGACTGAAGACCTAAATCTATAAAACTCACAGAAGAAAAATCATAGGTGATATATGACAGTGGCGTCAGAGATGTTGGGTAACTGACTCCAATAACAAAGAAAATAAAAGCACAAAGAAACAAGTGACAGTAATCATACTAAAAAGTTTCTATGCAACATAAGAAACCACCATTAACACAAAAAAGTAAACTATCAATTTGGAGATCTTTATCCATCAAACCTCAGACAAGTTACACAAAGAACTCAACCAAACAACCTAACCAAAATATGGGTAGAAGATGGCCCTCCCTGATGGCACAACACATTAAAGCACAGCACTGTGACACTATTGCAATGACAAGTTCAATCCCCAACCAGGGAGATGACCCACATGGTGTGGCAGACCTTTCCTGACCCACCCACTGCTCTCCTCTGTACTTCACTGATCTGCTTGTTCTGCTCCCCACTCTGTCTTTGGTGAATCCTTTTAACACCCCACCCACCCTGCCCACCTCTGATCTGTACCCAGTTCTGTTTGCATAAATAAATAAATCTTTAATATAGATAGATATAGATATATAGATAGAAGAGCTGAATAGACATTTCTCCACTAGGCATGTGAAAAAATGCTCAATATCAATTACTAGGGAAATGCAAATTAAAGTCAAATTATCTTCCACCGCACAACTATGAGAATGATCCACATCAAAAAGATGGAAGCAAGAGTTGGAAATGGTGTAGAGAAAAAGGTACCTTTGTACACTGTTGGCGGGAATGTAAAAACTGCTGTCTATGGAAAAACAACATGGAGAGTCCTCAAAAATTTAAAAACAGATCTATTTATGAACCAGAAATTCCACTTATAACCATTTATCCGCAGAATATAAAAAACAATGATTCAAAAAGAAATATGCACCCTTATGTTCATTCTGATATTATTCACAATAACCAAGAAAATAAAACAACCTGAATGTAGGTTGATGTATGGCTAAATAAAAAATACGTAGCATATACACTCAAAGGAATACTACTCAGCTGAAAAAAATGAAATCTTACTATTGTGACAATATAGGACTTGCACTGCTAAGTTAGAAAGCAAAAGATAAATGCTAGACGGTTTCATTTACAAGTGATAAACAAACAGACAAATAATAAAACACAACAAAAATAACTCAAGTGGTGGCCAAGAGAGGAAGGGAAAAGGGAAAGCGGGTGGGAGATGGATGGGCAAAAGCATCAATTGGATAGTAACAAATGATACTATCCTTGTGGATGGTGTAGTATGGTACATACAGTTATTGAGATATGAAGTCTGACTCATAATTTTACACAGTATTATAAGCCAATGGTCAATCAATTCAAATTAAAATTTTTAAATAAAAGTGAATTTAAAAACATATCAATGAAACAAGAGTTCAAAAATATAACAGCTGATTTTCAAGAAGAAAGATTCCTATACAAGTCAATGCAAAAATGAAGTATTTTCAACAGATGGTGCTAGAACTGGATATATGAGAGAAAAATGACATGTGGAATATATTTGGGTTTAATAATTAGAAAATTATATTATAAAATTCTTAAAATGATACTTACATTTTTTATTTTGATGTTTCCCCAATCATCATCCTGTATTCAAGGCAAATAAGAAACAGTTAAGAATCCCTGTACAATCTGCACATAATCTAGCAACCAACTAATTTTAACTACTCAATAGAATTTTTCCTGCATGCATATTTTACTTAAAATTACAGCAAACAATGGATGGAGGTGGACAGGATTATGCTCAGTGAAATAAGCCAGAAAGAAAAAGAAAAATACCAGATAATTTCACTTACAGGAGGAATGTAGGGGAACCAAGTAAGGGATCAGGAAAAAAATATATAATAAATTAAAAAACAAAATTAACAGATTACTATAAATCAGAGACATTCTGCAGGGGAAGGAGAAGGAGAAGAGTCTGAACAGAGTGGGAAGAGCAAAAGGAGGACTATAGTGATGGTGCATGAGTAAATTGGTGGTGGGAATTTTACAAGGATTACACCTGAAAGGAGAAAGCACACATTGTACAAAAAGGAGGAATGATATAATATATATATATATATATATATATAAAATAGAAAAAAAAAGCATTCTCTGTGACATAAAACAAAGTGAAGCACATTTTTTTTAAAAATTACTGCAAATATGCTTTTAAGAAAAAAATACCAAAGCTACTAAGTTTATCAACTTCTTAAATAAATAAGCTTGGCAGCACCAAAAGTAATGAAAAATGCTTGATGACAAACAACAGATGCCAACCTTTTGCATGTCTGGAAGCAACAAGCTGGATGAGCTAGCTTATTTAACAAGAGTTAACTGTAAATCCATACATTAGGGTGATCTATCACCCAAACCAAGAGATTTTTAGAATGAAAGTGTTAGTAAACATTACACCAGAAGAATGAACAAGAATAAGACTACATCATGGCAAACTGATCCTTAATAAATACTTGCCACGTCCACAAATATTTCCCAAGTCTTAAATTTCACATCTATCTTTTTTAATATGCTCAATTAAATCAAGATTTTAGTTTTTAATTCCATTCTTAGTCCACAGATAGTTTGGACTACTGTGGTTTAAGTTCTTCACAGGAAAAGGTCAGCTCCAGATTATTACTCTACTTTCACAAAAGGTACCAAACACTCAATATGCCCCCCACCCTTTTGGTAGTACTAGTATTTTCTTGGTCACTCTGTTATAAAGCAGAACAGTTAACTTTGTAAAGGCTTTTCTCAGTTTAAGGACTATTACTGCTAATCATAAGGAAGGTCATACAAAATGATGAAATGCATCCAGACCTTCTTGACCCAGACCTTCTTGACATATAAAGTGTGGTGACTTAATAACATGCTATTTACACCTCTCAGATGCTAAGTCTCCTCACGTATAAAATGTACTTCCCTCACTTTTTATATATTCTATGAATATATAAAACAAGAAAAAAAAACACTTTCTTCACTTTCAAAATACAGATGAGGATTTAAGAAAAGCCTCAATAAGTGTTAGCTATTAGTAGTCATAATTTATTTAATAGGCATTTTTCTCCTAATTCTCCAGTGCATAACCAATATAAGACTCAGCACAAATTAGGTTCAGTTCACTAATGAACTCAAAAACTCATACTGCAACTTAGAGGGAAAACAATTTTTCGCTAACACCCCTTTCACAGCTCAGCTAACCAGAATAGTCTGTTCTTACTTAAATACCTTCACATCATTTTTATAGTCCTTCCTCAACTTTAACTACAATGAACACAACTATTCCAAAATAATTAAAGAAAACTAAAGAGATAATGGCTCTTTTTAAACAGCTAGGATGTAAAAGGTCAAAGGAAAAAAAATTAAGTTTCCCAGAATTCCACACCAAGAGCTTTGGTAAAGATGTTTAAGTACTTTAAATTCAATATCCAACTATATATACAAATATACATTCTGTCATAGTCCTTAAAAAAAAATAAAAGCAAACAACTACCATACTCTTCTTGTTTTTAACAGTTAAATTTCCTACCACTATAACAGAAAATTACTAAGGAAATATAAACAGATTTTAATCTTACCTACACAAAATAAAATACAATTAATACACCTTTATAGGAAAAAGGTTCAAGCAATAGAGATGAATGGAGGACCCCAGGCCTCTTAACCTAGAGGTACTCTCTGGTTCAATGGATTTTAAAATTCAAATTTTATCACTTTAATGCTTTTAAGTAACTACAACATTTCTTTCTTCACACTAACATGAATAATACAGTTTAATCCCACATACTATATACTCTCACCAAATTAAAAAAAAAATCTCAAATGTTACATTTTCTGGTGTTTTCATCCAATATATAAAATCAACAAAGAATGAAAATGTGGGGTATATTTTACCTTCAATGTTCCACCTTTCACCATAACTTTCTGTCTGGCAGGCTGGACCCCAGTCAGTGCAAAGAGCTGAGCCTTGAACACCATTGGAGGCTCATCAGTATTCAATTCCACACCTTCAAATTTTTCCTTTCCCCATTTCACAGTAACTGCAAACAAAACCACAACTTATATTTCTCATTTATAAAATGACAATACTTCATATTTAGAAAATCCTTAGAGACCTACTAGGCTATTTCTTGAAATCTAAACTGTCACTCATCTTTCTATGCATATAATGTTTACCAAATCAGGACTGACTTGAACACAACAGGCCTCGAATAAAATTTAACTGTATCTGATCCAAGTTCTCCTTTCCTAAATAAGACTGAAGTTGACTGATACACTAACATTACAAAACTAATGGGTAAATGTTAGTCTTCTGAATTCTACTCCAATATTCTCTGAAAAATACGATCATATTTCCCATGTTAAGTTTCAGATTTCAAAATGTTTAAGATTAAAATAGAGAGGGGAAAAGCAAATTTGAAAGATAGTTTGAGGGAAGAAAATGTCTTGGGATAGTAAGGCACCTTTAAAGAAGGTTAACAAATACTTGCTGGTAAGAAAGTTGCAGAACTGAAAGTCTTGGTTCCCAAACAACAGGTGGTCAAACATTAAATAGACTGCAAAGATCATTTAAAAATATATATATCTACCTCACAATTTAGACAGTTATTATAAAAAAAATTTTCAACAGAAAAAAACAAGTAATGAGATTGTAGAAATACTGTAATTTTTGTTCACGGATACTGCAAAAATGGTGTAGCCACTGAATAAAATGGTATGGGAGTTACTGAAACAATCAATATAGAACCACCAAATGATCAGTCAATTCTACTTTCAGTTATATACCCAAAAGAATGGAAAGCAGATGTTCAAAATTGATTGGTATACCACAGGAGCATTAGTTGCTATAGCCTAAAGATAGGAGCAATAATCGGTCCACCAAAAGCTAAGTGAAAAGTGAACACGGTCCTTCCCTGGTGGCGAAACAGGTTGGAAGGTAGTGCGACTAGGTCGCAGCAGCTTCAGCGAGAGTTCAATCCTAGCCAGGGAGGTGGCTCTGGTCAATCTTCTCACCACCCCTGCACCTCTCACCTGTAACCCAGTTCTGTATGCAAAATAAATACATCCTTAAAAAAAAATAAATGAACATATTATAATATTATACATATAATATGGACATTATTCAGTCTTTAAAAATAATGAAATTCTAACACATGCTACAATATGGATGAAACTTGGAAATATTATGCTCAGTGAAGTAAGTCTATACAAAAGGACAAATATTTTATGAGGTACCTAAAGCATACAAATTCAGAGAAGCAGTAGAATGGAGGTTGCCAGGATCATGGGAGGAAGGAAAAATGAAGAATTACTATTTAATGGGCATAGAGCTTGTTTAGGAACATGAAAAAGTTCTAGAGAATGAATCAACCTCATAAAATAAGCTTACTTTTGAAATATGTAAAACAACCTCAAGGATATATGTGTGTGAAGTACATAGTGTTTTTACTCTGAAATCTTTAAAACTACTAAAAAATGAGGAACTCACAACTAATTGTCTGATTTTCAACCACTACAACAGAATTTGAAAAACAGACTGATTCCGTAGCCCAAAACTTTGACCAATTCAGTTACTGTGTGTGTGTGTGTTTAAAGATTTATTTATACATACAGAGCTGGGACACAGGTCAGAGGTACAGGGGCGTTGAGAGGATTCACCAGAAACAGAGTGGGGAGCAGAACAGGTCAACTGATGAAGTATACTGCTGAGGGAAGCAGCAGGCGAGACAGGAGAGGTCTGCCACCCCATGTGGATCAACTCCAGGGTGGGGATGGAACTCGTGCTAAAGTGGCTGAAGTAGCTTCTTAGTGCCGTCTTTTAACCTGAGAGGGCCGAGTTTAGTTTAGTTTTTTTTTTTTTTTTTTAATTTATTTACTCTTGTATACAGAACTGGGGTACAGGCCAGAACTGCAGGAGTGGTGAGAAGATTCACCAGAGACAGAGTGAGGAGCAGAACAAGCAGGCTGAAGAAGTACACTACTGAGGGAAGCAGCAGGCAAGACAGGAGAGGTCTGCTTGCTGTGCCATGTGGGTCAGCCCCCTGGCTGGGGATCCAACTCCTGCTGAAGTGGCTGCTGCTAGTTTTCTAGTGCTGTGTTCCACTGTGCCACCAGGGAGGCCCCAGTTACTGTGTTTATACCTAGAGTTCAATAAGACCAGGCACATAAGCAATTTTTTATGAACTTTTATAGTCTAATAAGAGAAAGAGACAAAGGAAAAATGTTAAAATAATTAGCAATACAAAATAAATATTATAAATATGCAGGAAAAGAGGAATGCTTCATAGGAGGCACTGTCTGAAGGAAGAAATAACTTGTTATTACGAATTTTGAGAAACTGGATGTTAATCAGCAAATAAAAGATAATGAAAAGCATTCCTGGAATAGACAAAAAAAAATTCAAAACCTAAAGTAACATGGTGTATGCTGATATGTAATTAAGGAAGATAATACAGTCATTTTAAAACACAGGCTTTCTGTTGTATGAAATGTGCAATCCCTGAAATGTTTCGTTAAAGGACATTTTGGTGTAGTTGAACATCAGAGCAGCAACAAGGAAAATGGTTTTGAGAGGTCATAATTTCAATCAGAAAAACTACAACCATAACAGTACAAGCAATGGAACAAGATGAAACCAAAACAATAACAGAAATGATGCAGAAACAAATCTTATTTAGTTAAGATATCACCCTAAATAACTTAAATTTATCCATAAAGGAGAATTATACTAGTATCATATGATTACACTGAAGATTAAAACAAACCAACTGTATAAAAACAATAGCTATGAGACAACCACACAGGTTCATAATTTTTATGGCATTCAATAAGTCAGAGTCTGGATATGAAACCAAAACAATAACAGAAATTTAACTTTCTATGTGAAAACAGTGCTTTTCTGCTAGAAGGAGCATATTAAATGTCCTTATTTTAACAGAAGGATTTTTATAGAACATGAAAATAGATTCTCAATTTGATGTCAAAGGAAGAGACCTTTGAATTCTTCATTCCCTCATATTGAAAATGAGCAAAAGATCTGGTAAGTAATTTGTAACTTATTTTTAATATAGAAAAGTTTGGTAAACATAGGCATTTTTAAGGGAATTTGTGGGTTGGTTTTAGTTGTATGTGAGTTGAGTGATTAAAGTATTAGAATACACTTTTTTTTTCTGACAACGGTGTCCCCTTAATTTTATAATGTATAAATAGAATATCTCAAGTACCATTCTACTGTTAATTGCTGTAACTTTAGAGATTGGGTAATCACTATTAAAGAATTCGATTAAAAATTTTAAAACATCAAGAATCCACGAGACTGATTAAGCACTACTCTTTACTTAATTTGTTTAAGGATGACTTATTTAAAGGACTATAAGAGACGACAGAGTCGTGAATGAATCGCAGCATCGCTAGCCAACTGGAGTCAACACGTACATTTTAGGTGCCATTTTGAATAAGGCAGGGTCTAACAAGTGAAAACGTGATCCCTGGCAATACCTTGAAATGCTACTATGTAATTACAAAAATAAAACACCAGTCACACACCAATCAAAAGGAAATGACGCCTGCGGATACTCAGCGATCTGTCAATGTTAACACTATGCTTCGGACATAAAAGCGCAATACAAAGCTTTTGATAAAAAAGAAAATTGAGATAAATTCGCAATCTGCCTTGGGACAAAACTGAAACAGGCATAAAATGGGCGGTTAACCCAAAAGCAACAAGGGGTAAGCGAAAGGTGAACACTAGTTATTGATGTAAGTGCAGGGGTAATAAAGGCTAACCTTACATCCCGGGTGCCTCCACCCAGCCCTTAATTCAGGTTTCCCCTCCTTGCCGGTCCCTTCCACTGGTGGGATCCAGGAGATCCCATTCCGCCTCCAGCCTGGCCCTAGAGCCCAGGACACACCCTCACCTTTCCCAGCACGCAGGGACAACGACAGAAACTATTCTGCAGAGTCATGACTCTAAGAGAGGCCGACGCTCGCAGCTTCACCACCTCACACCCCCTCCCACCCCACCCACTCGGCGATGGAAAGCCAGCGATCCCTTGCGATGCAGGGCTCAGAACTAGCAGAGAAAAAGGGCCAGGGTCCTCTCCACGCCACCAACCCTTGTCCACACCTCCCCATATCCTTCCCCCGCCCCGTGGCTGGTCAGGCACCCGCCCTTCAGGCCAGGCCTACTCAGAGGCCTAACGCCGGGTGGAATTGCGGGCACGAGGCGCGGAGGAGCTCACCGGAATAGAGTGGCATGGCTGGGCACTAAAGAAGGCGGCGGCGCAGGAAGAATGGCCCTGGCAAGAATGGCCAGGGGGAGCGACACGAAGAAGCTGTAGCAGCGACCGAAGCGGAGGCGCGGTGGTGGTAGCGGCTCGGGTGCGACCAGAGCCTCATTCAAACCGGCCACTGGCGATGACGCAGCAACACGCAGTTCGTCGGCCGAGCCAAGCGCTGAGAGCCGGGAGAAGAGGCGCGGAGCGGTGAGGCGGGGCCAGGAGGGTGGAGACACTGGGAGGTGGGAGGGAAGTCTGGAGAGGCCCGGGCGCGCCGGGCGGAGGACACGCGGCCCTCTCAGACATAGGATGCGCATGCGCATTGGACGCCGCCAACCCGCCGCGTGGGCCTGACGCGTCATACCTTGCTGCAGTCGGTACTGGGACCTGGTATCCCATCTTAAGACTTTTATAAAAATCTCTTCTCCACATTTTATGGGGTGGAGTGGGGAATGGGATTAAAAAACAGTGGGGGGGAGGGAAATGCACTGAACTATGGTGATGGTACATGGGTGATTTGGTGATGGGAAGCCCACAGGGATTACAACTGAGATAGAAAAAGGCACAAAATGATGTGGAAAAAAAAAAAACTATTGTTATTTTTTTAAAAAAAGTCTCTTCCTTCATTTTTTAAAAAATGGTAAATCTGTGCAAGCCAAAGTTTTTCTCATGTTAATTAATGTCAGTAGAAGAGCTGAGAGAGGCCCCTCCACTGAGTGGTCTTGTTAATGAGAAATAGTATTTCAGGGTTTAACGGCAAAAACAAATGTCACAGCGCCTCGAACACTTAAATGAAAGCTCAGTCTTGATTTTTATGTATTACTGTTGTTTGTAACAACCCCTTCCGGCCCTAGGTTGGATCTAATAAGGCTATTTAGAGGGGGAAAACTCTCTCAAGGATCATGCCCCAGACCAGCTGGTGGAAGTTAACCTGTAGCCTTCCACTTTAAATGTCTTGGACTGTGTCCCCAGATCTGGAAAATGAAGAAATTAAACTAGAAGTTTCTGAGGCATCTTCCAACTCTAAATTGCCATAGCAGTGTAGATCCAAGATTTGCAGATAAGAGGAAAAAAAACGTGTAAGTGAAGGGAGGATTTTCAAAGAAATAAAAATTAAAATTGAGATTGTCCAATGAAAAAATAAAGCAAAGGTTTACAATAATGCTAAATGCTACACAAGGTGTGTTGAAACTGTGATAATGAATTCACATTTAAAAAACAATACAACCCTTTAAGAGGTTGTATCATTTTGCAAATTAAAACCACAATGAGATGCCACCTCACCCAGTGAGAATGGCACATCTTCAGATTAGCAACAACAATTGTTGGCGAGGATGTGGAGAAAAAGGAACTCTCCTGCACTGCTGGTGGGAATGCAAACTAGTACAACCACTATGGAAAACTGGAGG